AAGTCACTTGTTTTAGTTTGAGAAGCCTCGTTCCTTGCTTGTGTAGTTCCCTCCCTCCCTCTCTCCCTGTTTCTCTCTCTCCCCCTCTCTCTCTCTCTTACCCATGAAGGCCAGACAAAGATGTTAGATTCTATTGGTATGATTTTCCATGTGGGTGCAAATACTTCTAACTACTGAGCAATCTCCTCAGTCCCTGGAAGCTTTTTTCTCTTTTGAGTATCTCATGGGGAACAAAGACTCAGGAAGTCACTTGTTTTAGTTTGAGAAGCATAGTTCATAGTTAGTGCAGTAACATGAATATAAATTTGAAGATCAGCAGATTGGTCTTTGTGTCTTTGTGATATAGCTAAATCTAATAAGTAGTTCCCATATTTCTATGCTTCAAAACTACTAAGCTTATTTCTCCTCTTCCAGTCTTCATGGTAGAACCTAACATTAAATTATATTGTTTATGGCATAAGTCCATCCTTGGTTTCTTCCCTTTGTGAAATGCCTTTGCTTTATTACGTATAAATTATGGTTCTGTGGCCTTAAGAATTGATCTTACTGTGATTAATGTCCTTATATTTTAATAAAATAATTTTTATATTTGCAAGGACAAATCCTTATGTTGTTAATACAGAAAAATATGAACATTTCTACAATAAATGTATGAATATTTGTATGTCTACAAACTATTTGAAGTGCACAAAATATTTCAGTGAATTGATTGAATGGATCAAACAAGCCTGTTCTTTGACTAGAGGAAAAAATGGTTTGGGCTTAAGTAAGTGTTATAAATGCACTCACTGTTTCACATGGCCTTCCTTCCAGTTTCATCCCTAGATGAGTAATTTTAGAAGCATTATATCAATAGTATTTCATAAGTGTGTACTTACTTTTTGTGTTCTATAGAGCCAAGAAAATGATGAGCTAAGAGATGCCCATGAAAAATGCAAGGAAAGGCTACAGATGTTACACACCAACTACAGAGCAGTAAAAGAGCAATTAAAACAGTGGGAAGAAGACAGTGGCATGTGAGTTACATAGCTCATAAAGGCATCTCCCTAAATATTAAATGGAATGGAGAGCATTATATAGGTGTTTTAATGGCTTTTGTTTAGTTTTAGTGAAATTATTTGGTAGTCAAATCTTTACTGTGAATATTTTAGGAGAGAACATAACAAATGAAAACAGAAAAATGTGCTAGCCATAACTATAGATTTTCTTATCATTCACAGATGTCACTAGCAGAAGGTGATTATGAATAGTATATCTCTTTACTATCAATAGAAAAGCTTAATAAATGTCTATAAGTCAAAGGAAACCCAGTTAATATCTATATTATTATTGAAGAACTGCTTTTAAATAAATAAAATACTGGTGTTAAAATTTTATAACCCCTATAATATTTACATTTTAATGGAAAGACAGTAGGAATATGAAAACTACATGTATAGTTAACCATCTTAAAACTATTTCAACCTAGTATGCAATTTGAAGATCTTTACTATCCATCAGTTTTTTAAACTTCAGCTTAATCTGAATGAATTGGCAGTCTCAGTTCAATTGCCCTGAACAGGTGTTCAGATCTTGGTTAGTTGTAAGTTGCTCCCCTGGTAACAGTATCAACAGAGGGCAAAGGACGGGATGAGTGTAGCAAATCTACTTCCCTCCCACTTTGAGAAGGATCCTTTAGGGCTTGTTGATGATACACATTGGTCTGTTCTGTAGAGAAGTAGTTTCTAAATCGGCCAGTACAGCACTTTTAGAAACTACAAGTAAAGTTTGTTTCACGTACAGAAAATGAAACTATAAAGCAAGCGTTTGGCCTTGCTGGTAGATAATTGTCATGTCTAACCTCTTCCTTTGATGAATGGGAAATGTTTCATTGTGTCTCAGTAAAAGCGGTGATGAAGCAGCTTTCCCTAGCGTTAACCTCTGCTCACCCAGCTTTCAGTGGGAGCTACAAGAGCACACAGTCTGCTTTTTGGCACAGTCACCATTAATAATATGTCTGTGATAGGGCATCTTTACCACATGCAGATCAGATGTCAGCAAATTCTAGATGAATCAATTGCTGTGCTCTCTTTTTGTAGACTCTACAATCCTACAGTGTATGTTTTATTACTATTTTACTAGAATAAATGAGAGAAATAAACCCCTAGGTTTATTAATATCATATGTCTGCTTAAAAGTTTGCTTTTTCATGGTAGCAATTTAGTATTAGGAAATTATGATATAGGATTTTAACTTTCACATGCTTAGGTATTAGGAAAGTAATCTAAAAAGAAGTAAAATTAAATTAGTAATTGAGATTTGGTCTCAAATCATAGATAGTTATGAATTTTAAGGAATGTATAAATAAACTTTTATAGCACTTTGAATATGCAGTTTTTTACTTAAAAAATAGGACTGAAACCAGAAAAATGAAGCGAGCAGATCCTCTCCAGCTTCGACAAGAAGATTCTGATGCTGTGTGGAATGAACTGGCATATTTCAAAAGAGAAAACCAGGAGTTGATGGTTCAAAAGTGAGTTTCCTTTTAACAAGAGAAAATTGTATAAGTAATCTGAGATTTATTTTTGTTACTCAAAGTCTATTAGGGAAGCAGATTTTAAAACTTGAAAATGAAATTATCTGAGATTTATAAATAAGACCATATGCATGTATGTCTGTGTGTATGTGCATATATACATATAAATAAATAAATAAAATCATGCAATAACAAGTTGCACATTTGCTAGCTCTAACAGAAACTGTATAATATGATCTAGGGATCGTGTTAATTAATGTGGCTCTCATCTGTTGAGGGTGTCGTTCTTCATTAGCCTGTGTTTTAGACACTGCCTTGCTTCATTTTTGGAATGAGGTGGAGAGGGGATAACCTAGCCAGCCATCCTTGTTTGATCTCCTAGATATATACGCAATGCAGAATGCCTGAGCTCTCTTGGTTCCCTGCCCTGTCCTGCTAATCCCAGCTGAGCTCATTATGGTGTAGCCTTGCTGCTACTCTTGGAGCCAGAGCTGTCCAAGCTAATTACTGGTAGCAGCAGAACTGCCTGTTAAGGGTCTGGTGTGGATCTGCTAACATGGTCCTTGGAAGTGACCTGCGGAAGACACGAGGGAATTGCTCTCTTTCTTGCCGTGCACTACCTGTCCTTTGGGTTTAATGCTGATCCTCTACATAGGTCTTTTAGCTGCCCTAAGTATAAAACTTGATGAAGGATACTCATATTTTAGAAAACACACAGTTTGCTTGCTTGATCTTATAATTCGCCAGCTATTACATTCAGCTTGGCAAAGAAGGAACATTTTTTTTGTCTTGTCTTATTTTGAGACAAAGGAACATTATACCAATATAATTAGCCTCTTATTTTACTTAACTAGGTTTTTCATTTAGAGTGAATTTTTGACATATGAATTGTGAAGATTTTAAGTCAGTTTATGATATTGTTTAGTTTGGTACAATTTAGCATCATGTGGCATATTGTACTTAAATGTCATTGATTATTCTTAGCTGTAAACAGAAAGCTTATTTATTTATAATCTGTGTAACTCATGATCCTTTTCTAAATAATGATAAACTTTTGAGGAAATTACCATGTCAGATTTAAATGTATATTCTCATTTACCTCATAAAGTACAGTTTTTTCTATTATAGCTGAAGATTAAATGCTAATAACTAAGTCTCTTACATGAAACTTGCTTTACAGGCTACATAAATTCTTTGGCTCAAACACTTCTTGATGATTTTAAATAGCCTTATTGAAGTATAATTCAGAAGCCATATGATTCTCCCATATCACATATAATTCAAAGCTTACTCAGAGGTTTCCACAGTATCTATCATTACTGTTAGTTTTAGAACACCTTTGTTACCTCTAGCCTATACAACCCTCGCTTCCATCTCCTCCTGCAGCCCTAGGCAGTTAGATACTAATCTATTTTCTCTATTTGTAGATTTTCCTATTCTCAATTTTCCATATAATTTCTGTAGTCACATTATTCTACTAAATTATATTTCCAAAACTCATCCATGTTTTAGCATGTACCAGTACTGCCTTAATATTTTATGAATTAAATTAAATGAGAGATCTAATCTAACTAGATGTTAGAGCTAAACTACTAAAGAAGTTCAGGTAGATAGATGTTGAATATAAGGGATACATTTGGTTCTTGTCCTTGGTCCTACTGCAGGCAGGGGCCGTAATGATGTCTATGGTCCATGTTACCACTGAAGACCATGTGGATGTCCTTGGTCTGTGCCACTGCCTGGAGCCATGTTGATGTTTGTGGGCTGTGCTGTAACCAGGGCTCATGTTTGTGTGAGTGGCCTATGCTGTCACTGAGGCCATGTTGAGGTCTGTGAACTTTGTTGTCACTGAAGTCCAGGCAGATGTTCTTGGTCTGGGCTGCCACCTCAAGCCATGTTGATTTTCATGGGCTGCCATTGTGGGCCATATTAGTGTCTGTGGTCTATGTTGCCCTGGAGGAGGCCATGTTGATGTCTTTGTCCTGTGCTGCCGCTGAGGTCTTTGATGGTGTTTGAGGTTTGTGCTGCAGTGGAGTGCCATTTTGATGTCCATCATCGATCCTGCTGCTGGAGACCATCCTGAGGTCCGTGGCGCATGCTGATACTGAGACCACGTGGACGTTCATGGTTCATGCTGTTGCCAGAAGTCGTGTGGAAGCCCATTATCCTTGTTCCCTTTGACTGTCAAAGGCAAGGAAGCCCCTTTTGTGGTAGCATTGATGACTACAGAATCACAGTTGAGAAACGGGGACATAGAAGGCTTCTGTGACAACTGTACCCCCTCCTCCAGAAAAAAAAGTAATAGGCTAGACTGGAAGAAAACTCTTACTGTCATAAGGATGCTGAAGTATAGCTCTCCATTATTAATGGCATCTGATGTGGGTGGGGTAGGACTCAGGCCACCAGGAGTTTGTCCATGCTCCAGTGAGTACATGGGCAACACAAATCGGATGTTTTTTAATTTTGTTTTTGGTTTTGTTTGTTTGTTTGGTTGGTTGTTTTGTTAGTTGGTTGGGGAGAAGTCACAAGGGTTGGGGGCACACCTGGGTGGACTGGGAAATGTGATTGGGGTACATGATGTGAAACTTTCAAATAAACAATAAAAATATTTTGTTGAAAAAAAGATATATTTAGGGGATATTTTACTCATTAATGAAATAAGAGAAAATGTAAAGAATCCATCTAAAGAACGTTGGGGAACTCTCAGAAGCCTAATCTATTTACTCTGCAGAGTTATACCATGAACAGCTCTTTGAAGGAAGTGATGAGTCCTTGTTAAACCATCACAAACTTCCTTAGAACTCTGTTTAAATTTGTGAATGTAAATAGCTATTTATGGTATGGTTATTTTTCAAGTAAGATTTAACTTAACAAAAAATAATGAGTTATTTTTTCACAAAGCATGGTGAAGACACATGCATGATGGATCAGGGTATCATCTCAGCACTTGGGAGGCAGAGGCAGGAAGTTTGCAGCAAACTGGAGGCCAGCCTGGTCTACTCATTTCCAGGCCAGCCTGGAGTACATACAGAATCCTTATGTCAAACAAAGGAAACTAACAAAATTAAGCTATTGTATGTTAAACATTGCAGTGACTTAATGTACATCCAGAGTTTTAGGCTCTTTATTGTGGAAAACAAACACTTTTAACATTTTAATATTTGGCATTTGTTTTAGATTTTTTCTTTCTCGAGTAGTTTTAAAAACTGCTCTTTGGAGTTGTTGACTTGCTTCGTTAAAAAAAAGTCATTAAATAGAATTTGGCTTGAGATTAGGACAGAATTTAATTACCTAGATGTTCCAAAACATATTTCTGGCATGTTGTGCTGAGCAATATTCTCAGTAGTGACTATTATAAATCAAAATATCAGCTCTGAAAAGTGTTGAAGCTTATGTCTTTTTTTTGTGAATATACACGCCATTATATGATAAGACTACTGGGATCACAGACACGTGCCCAGGCTTCCAGCTTTTACCAGGCTTCCCATCGTCTGAACCCAGGTTGTCAGGCTTGCTTGGGTGTATGCTTTTACCCTCTAAGTCATCTTCTCAGCTTCAGACCCCTAATGTATTATTTTATATTCTTATTTTCTGTGTTCTTATCTCTGATGAATGGCTAATCAAGTCTGTTGCCTATTTTATAAATCTAGTTTGTTACTGTACTTCCTATTTTATGTCAACTTGACATAAGCAAGAATCATCAGAAATGAGTGAGCCTCAGTTGAAAAAATGCCTCCATAAGATCTCACCATAGGCAAGCCTGTGGAGAATTTTCTTAATAGTGATTGATGGGGGAGAGCCCAACTCATTGTGGGTGGAGCCATCCCTGGATTTGGTGGTTCTGGGTTCTATAAGAAAGCAGGCTGAGCAAGCCAGTAAGCATCATCTCCCTTGACCTGTGGATCAGCTCCTGACTCTAGGTTCCTGCCCTGTTTGATGTGAGTTCCAGTCCGGGCTTCCTTTAATATTGAACAATGACATGGAAGCATGAGCCCTTCTTCCCCCAAGTTGTTTTTGGTCATGGTATTTCATCTCAACAATAACCCTAACTAAGACTGTTACTGAGCAAATTCAAATAATTCTTATTGATGAGATTTAGAAGCTTTTGTTACATATATGATACACAAATCCTTAATCACTTGTGATTTAAATTTTTTTTTTATTCTGTAGATTGCCATCTCCTTTTCCTAGGTCATTGGAAATGGCAAATTTTAATAAAATCTGAATCTTTTTATTTTTATGTACCATGGTTTTGGTATTATATCTAGGCATTATTTCTCTGACCTAAAGCTATAAGCATTTTATCCCAAATTTTAAAATTTTTATAAATTCTTCTTTTCTATTTGATTCTACTTTCCATTTACAGCTACTCTTTGTATAAGTTAAATATTATAGATCTAAGTTTGTTTTGTGGCACATATATGTCCAATAGTACCAAGAAATTGCCTTTGAACTGTTAGTTATCAGTTCATTTTATTTCTCTGTACTCTTTTTATTCCATTCATTTCAGTACCTGAATTTCACAAACACCATACAGTCAAAATGATTGCTGCTTTCCAAAAGGTGTTAAACTCAGGGGTAGGAGATAACTTGATTCTTCAGAATTCCTTTGCCTTGCCATAGTTCTAAGTATGAAAAAAAAGCCTTTGAAAACAGAAATCCGGTAGTAAGAGAATCAGTCAGGAACTCTGATTGGAATTGTGCTGCAGCTCAGAACTATTTGGAAAAGCAAAAACATTACCTGCATCGATCCTACATTTAAAAGAAAGAACATGTCTACATTACTTTGATTTTTTCATTTTATTAGCATTGATATATGGCATTTTTCCTGTTCTGTATGTCACAGATATTTGTTAGCTGCTCTGCTGGTGCACACTTACAATCCCATTTGGGAAGCTGTTGCTAGGGAGATGATGAGTCCCAGGCCAGCCTGGGCTCTGGAGTGAGACTCGGTCATGAGAAGGAAAAATAAAATTCTTGTCAGATATAGAGCAAAG